ATAGGGTGACATGACACGTCAAACCTTTGGGAACAGGAATCTAATTACATAAGTGCCCTCCGTGATTGATGTGTATTCCCCAAACTGGCCTTACCGGTCCCGTTAGCAATAACCTGTCAGCATTGCTCCTTCTCCTCAATGTCGTCTCATTCTCGCACTCTCTCTTTCTCTCTCTGTCCTCTATCTCAGTAGCAGCCGAGTGGTAAAGGGGAAACTGATGTAAAAGTTTCTTGTCAATTCCTTGATGTTCTGTTTGGTTCCTGAGAAAATGTTTGAGCTCATTGAAATTTGTTACTTTTGTAGATTATTGTTGAAGATGGCGACGAGTGCGGTGGACGCGACTGGGAATCCGATCCCGACATCAGCGGTGCTAACGACTGCATCGAAGCATATAGCGACAAGATGCTTTTCAGAAAATGTGGAGTTTCTCAAGTGCAAGAAGAAGGATCCAAACCCGGAGAAATGCCTCGATAAAGGCCAGCAAGTCACTCGCTGTGTCCTTGGATTGTAAGTTCAAATCTTTACAATTTTCTCTTATATTATTTTCCTCCTGATACTGTTTCTGATGGTTGCTAATTCGTTATTAATTGAGTTAATTAATGATGTTTGATTGTAATTTAACTTCTGGTATTAAGGGGTTTGGGGATTTTTTGTGGAATATGAAGGTGGATGAAATACTGGGCTTTGATTATTTTATATTGGGTCTGTTTTAGATGTTGAAATGTTGTGGAATTGAGCTAAAGAGCAAAGTTGGATTTTCTGATTTTCTGTTTTTTTTGCATTCGAGTAGCAATGTCTACTCTTGTGAGCTGTTAATTAGTGGGAATTGAGGAAATGAAGGTTCCAATTGGTGGTTCGAGTTGAGGAATGAATTTATGTAACCTTGTGAAGATGATTGATTTTGCTAGATATGAAGTTTTTAGGGTTGCTTTTATTGTTTCGGCGTCAGACTTGAATGATTGGTTTCTGTACCATTTATTGTTTTTTAATTCAGATCGAATTATGTTGAATGTGTGTTTTTATCTTTGGCATTGCAAGTTTGGAAAAAGCAGCTGATTGATGCTTATTGTTAGCTTTTTGTGCATTGAGTGGCTGCAACTAAATACATGATATTGCTACTGCCCTCCTTTGAGAAACAGAAAGTTTAGTGTCTGGCAAGAGCTTTGAAATTATAAATTACCCGTCCATCTTAAGAATGTAGATAGTAAAGAACCTGAATAGAATGTAGATAGTAAAGAACCTGAATCTTTTGATGTTGATTAGGTTCCTGGGTCATAATCCAAGCAATTAGTCATAAGAGTATAAAGCTTCGATTAAAAAAAAAAAAACAAAAAACAAGAGTATAAAGTCCATGCTTTAAATGGTCTTGAGCAGCAGATCTCTAATTGCCTTTAACAATCCTTTAATGAAATCGGCGACTGAGGGAGTCCAATCGAATGTTTTTTTCCATCCTTGAACTTCTAATTTGTGTCTGTAGTTTACAGCTTGAATGCTAATTTCTCACATTCTGTTGTCTTAGCAATCTGAACGTCAAAGACTATTAAAGATTCAGACAGATTGATCATAATGTAGAGAGAAACAAATTACAAGCATTGGCATTTCCACAATTAAATTTATAGCGTGCATGAACAAAATTAGGCGAGATCTGCTATTGAACAAATAATCATTCTTGAATGTCTCATCGACCATTATTACTGCCTGTTAGATAGATAGTGTGAAGGTTATTTTCTTCCTGCGTGTGATACTGTGAACAAGTTGTGCCACAAACTTGATATTAAGTTTTTATTATTTTGATAGTTTGTATGTCTTATTTAAATCCCACGGGTAAGGTTGCATGATTTATTATAGAATAATATTTAACGAGCTGCGTACAAAATATTTAGAGAGGACTCTCTGGAATGAAGGCTGTTAGAACCTTCAATAACTTGATGCATCAAACAACAACCCGTGAGCACATGCTCGCTGTTAACAGTTCAGTACCAAATTTTGAGATGTTTGCCACTGCAGGTTGAAGGATCTTCACCAGAAGTGCACAAAAGAGATGGATGCTTACGTTGGTTGCATGTATTACTATACAAATGAATTTGATTTGTGTCGCAAAGAGCAACAAGCATTCGAGAAAGCTTGCCCATTGGAATGATTGGCAAATGGAACTAGTAATCAAGCTCACAATAATTTAGGTCACAAAACATTTTGTGATGAGCAGACATTTTCTGTTGCGTGCATTTTTCTTTTTCTTTTTGTGAATTGTCTCCCTTTTGTTACGCTCTGATTCTACTCTCAGATTGCTTTCAAAAGAAAGTACAGTATGTTTCTGCCTCCTTGAGCATGTTTTCTGAGTGCTATATTTGCTTTTGAGGTGATTGAACGGTTTCCATTTTGGTTTCTGAGATCTGCAATGTCCATGAAAATAACAAAATGTGAATGAAGGAGATAGGATTTTGCAAATCTCTCCTGCTGCATATTGTTGTTAGCATTGCTGGCTTGTTGCTGTTTTTTAAAATATTTTTCATTTAAATATCAATAAAGACATAATTTTTTAATCCACACCACAAACTCCACTTGTAGGGAAGGGTACACCAGGTGTGCGCAAAGGGTTGCCGTATAGCTGTCGGCTTGTTTCGAGGTCTGATACGGTGAAGGGGTTTACGAGGATGAAGGGTCAATTTGTTGATCTCTTTTTTTATTTTTAATTGAAACGGTATTATTTAGAATATAAAATTATATAAAAAAACTCCAGCAATCGGTTAAAAAAAAAATAAATCAAACTCACAAAGTTAATCCACCGGCCAGACTAGATTTGGTGACTCCAGATTGCCAGACTTTCCAGTCCAGTCAGTACAAATGACATGTCTGGCCTCTATAGCCTTGCTCACAGGATCCACTATTTTATTTTTTAAACTCCGAAGCTCTTTTTGTCCAAGAAAATCCGAAGAGCTCGATAAGAGGCAAGGATGATGCACTGAAAGCCAGCTGACTGATAAAATAGAAGACAATGAGCTCTGGAAATTACAAGCGCACCAATTTTATGGAATACTAGTGAAGGATAGAACTAAATTCACTTCGCATGAACAGAGGTGGCCGAAAAGGGCCATCAGCCAAAGCCTTGCTAAACCAAAAACAAGATGCATGCGTCATGGGAAGATACACATTCTTCATCTAGCTTTGCTAATGCCCACAGTATCATTTCCAACAGGAACCTCATGATCAGCACAAAATATTGACGTGCAATAGAATGCGAACTATTCACAGAGATAACAAGTCCTTCAACCCAAAAGAAATCCACAGATCATAGCCAAATACACATCCTTCATCTAGCTTATAGTCACTCCCCATGGTATGATCTCCAAGGAATCTCGTCCAGCATAGAATGGCAACACACATAAGAACGGCCATTAGCGAGAACTGCACAGAAAAAACTATCATACTGTCAGTGCTCCAGTATTTCAAAGCAATACAAGCAGACTTGAGGCATCCTATAGCAGACTTTACATCTAGGAATCTAAAAATAATCAAAGCAGAAACCATAACAAATCATTTAAGCACTTAATATTGACTTTATTGGAGCCTTTCTCATCATAATAAAGACCTCTTTTTTGGTAAAAAGAAATCATTTTAATCAAAGGATAAAAGAGAATTTGCAAACAGGCGCATGTTCCCTTCTCATCATAATAAAGACAAAACACAAACAAAACTGGTACAATGCTAGGCGACCCCTTCAAGTTTCCAGCTATTTCCCCACCCCTCTTCCGAATCCATTCATTTCTGAAAGCAGGGGATCCAGAGCCCCTTACCTCAAACTTGGAATCTCCATCCTGAAGTTCTTAGAATCCAGTGGCATGGCAGAGCAGTGTCTCTGTTATGTTCACGAAAGACACCCCAAAACATCACCAACAAAAAGGCTAATGTCCCAAATCAAACTATTTGTCCTGAAAAAATTCTCTTTTATTCCAAATGGCCCAAATCAAAGCAAATATACTGTGTTTCTAGATTCTGAAAAGGAAAGGAAAAACTGTCTCTATCACTGCATTACGCTTTGGACTTCGACACTCAGGTAGCTTATTAGATCAAGCAGTGTGCCTCAAGTCAGAGGCAAAACCCTCGATACTTGCAGAAAAGTACATTGAGGAAATCCTATTAAATCCTAGTAGGACCTGAGACATATAATCACCTCACACTGAGGGGAGTGATTCTCAGAGCTGAAGAATAGATATCAAATGACTTTATTTGATCCAAAAAAGAAAAAAAGGAAGCAGAAAGTACTTACCCATAGGATCACGAACGAGACCTCAATGGACTATTATTGTAGGCCCTTGGAGTCCTTGATCTGCCAGATGCATGGTCTCTCTCCCCGGGGCTTTGACCATTCTCCCTTGGACTCAGAGACTGCTGGTCTGCCTGATAGGCTCTCCCATCTCGTGGAGAACGAGAGTGTGAAATGGATCTTGATCTCCGTCGGGAGCGATAATCATCCTTCATACCACGATCCCTGTCTCAATGAAAATAAAGATATATAAAAGGACTTCCCGGAAGATATTACTAAATCAATCGTGGACCTAGACATAAACAGAGAAATCTGAAGCATGTCCACTCCAGCACACAATAGACCTGTCAGAATTTGTGGTTTCCATAAATAAAGCAATCCCCACATGCTCATCCATTTAAATAAAGGATGGGAATTGTTTCTAGAGAAATGAATTTTCTGCGTACAGCTTCGTTGAAAATCTAATTGATCAGAATATGACAGTTACCTGCACCTTTTCAGGGTTTCTGAACAAAATTATGATAGTTGCACCAAACAATTGACAGTTGGGCTCCCTATTGATCAGCATCCGATAACTTCATAGCTTTCTTTGCCCCAACATTCTAAAATCTCATTTATCATTTTCTTGGGCATTGCCATCATTTCTCTACCAGTAAAACTTTGAAAAGCTTTCCTTCTTTGAAGATGATTTCTTTCTTTGGCCAAATATAAGCTTTATATTCTTTCTTAACTGGATAGTATATGCAAAACAAGACGTCAAACTTAACAAATTTCCTTATTAGAAAGTTGCTCTAAAGTTTTATATGGAAAAAAAAAAAAATACCCTGTGATTCTAGAAATCTCCCACACCAAGCTAAATTTGAATTCAATTGTAGTAAACCTCACCAACCCAAAAGTCAAAGAATGGGATAGCCAAATGCAGTTTGTGGAGAATAGCTAGTGAAGGTGATTATGGACAAAACTTATTGAAAGGTAAGTGTGTGTTGTCCATCACTTTATGAATTTTTTTTGGCATTAATCTTTTATTTACCATCTCCTTTTTCATTTTAACATCTGCAGAAGCAAGGCCACAAGCAGATAACATTCAAATTTATTGAAGCACATTCAATGTCAAGTGTAGGAAACAAAGATTCTCTCTGCATCAATGCTAAAATAACTATAAAATGGTAGGCCATTGAGGCAATATAATGGGGCATTAACAAAAGAAAAGAAAACATCTTGACCTTTTCTCTATGACCATAAACTGAACCTCTGTATTTCACTATCTTAACCACAAAGCAAACGAAAAAACAACCATTAGCAAAAGGTTTCCCTATAAGAAATTGAATAACAATAACCCAAGATGTGACTTCAATAGTAAATAGGATCTGAATATCACTAAAAATTGTAGAATATTACAGCTCCAGACAACGGAAATAATAGATTTTCATTGGAAAGTAGTTGTTCTAAGATATCAAGAATAGAAAAGGAAGGAGAAATAAAGAAAACAAATGAACAAGTGATGCATTGCTGTATCATTGACAGCAATAACCATGTTAATTGTTAGGTGAGTGGGAGTTCATCCCACATAAACTCACCAGTCACATGGTTTATGTGATGTTAAGTTCAGCTGACTAATGCTATTTTATAACAATATAATGTTATAAGCCCAGACTATTCACGGGAAACTTTAATGCTCCATTTGCTTCATGGTAAATGGAAAGAAATAAAGCAATCCTCTATGATTTCAGATCGCTATTCCATTTACTTCATGGTCATGTTATAAGGTTGCAACTCTAATATCTCCTAAAAGTAAATGAAAAGCATAGATGTAAACAATCATTGCTTAGAGATAAAAGATAAGGATAGGAAATCCTTAACAAGAACTTGTAAGAGCATCACAAAGAATGCAAAACAGACTCTTGACAAGTAAAATCAAACCTTGAATCATATCTAGCCGGTGAAGGTGAGCGCGAGTATGCTGCCAAAAACAAATCAACAGGTCATCACAATTATTCAAGGATAAATTCATTAATTTCAAAAACAGTTCATTTGCATGATAACCTTTAGATAAAACCACAAAAATTCAAAGATCTTTCTAAGAAGATTCAGATAAATTAACAAGGGAAAGTATGAACTAACAACGATGGCGGTGTCTTGGGGACCTTGGTGATGTTCTCCCTCTGGAGCTGCCTCCATGTCGATCACTAGAAACAAAATTTAAAAAGAACCAATAAGCTCATGAAGTAAAAGTTGTGTTCTGTTGAACAGGAAAAAACACTGATGCAATAAGAACTAAATACCGATGAAGCACTGGAGTCAAGAAAGTTTTTCCATACCTTACGTGAGTGGTCCTACGCATCTCTTGAGGTGTTTTTCTGTTCTCTTCAGCAAAAACAATTCTTATCTCACGTCCACCAATAGTTTTGTGGTCCATCCGTTGCTTTGCCTCAGCTGCATCTTCAGAATGGCGATACTTCACAAATCCAAACCCTCTTGGTTCCCTAAAAATTCAGATCACATAAACACAAAAATCATAAAAAGTTAAGCAATAAAACCAAAATAATAAATATTAAGATTAAGAAATAAAGCATTTTTATAATAGAAGCAAGCAAACAATCATACCCAGTGTAGTAATTCTTGGGCAGATAAATATCTTTCAAGGGACCAAATTTCTCAAATGACCTCCTAAGATCTTCAGGCCTGCAGAACAGAACATAACCATTAAGTTTTTCGCTTCAATAGATAAATAAACAGGAATTAGACATTCAAAATCCAACAATTCGCTAATTAAATTAAATAACAGCATAAAACTCTCTCCCCACTAAATTAACATTTAAAAGGGTAATGATACGAGTAAAATCGCCTAATTAAAAACCACTACAATAATTTTACAAGACTTAATTAAATAAATATTCAAGAATCCATCATTAGTTAATAAGCTTAAATAATAGCAGAAAAACTCTGCTCAATCCAGATTAACATTAATTAAATAGTGTTAATTAACATTGAAAAGGGTAGTGATACGAGTAAAATAGTCTAATTAAAAACCGCAACAATAATTTTACAAGACTTAATTAAAAAAATATTCAAGATTCCATCATTAGTTTATTCAAATAATAGCAGAAAAACTCTGCTCAAGCCAGATTAACATTAATTACATAGAGTTAATTAACATTGAAAAGGGTAGTGATACGAGCAACAATAATTTTACAAGACTTAATCAAATAAATATTCAAGATTCCATCATTAGTTAATAAGCGCAAATAATAGCAGAAAAACTCTGCTCAAGCCAAATTAACTAACAAAAATAAACTGATAGAGAAAGAGAAAGCGAAGGACCTGGCATCGAGAGGGAGATTGCGAATGAGCAAGCCGGAGGGAGCGGGAGAGCGACGGTCACGGTAAGAACGGCTGTCACGGAGGCGATCTTCGTCGTCGTATCGCTTTCGGCCACGTGGAGGGGTTCGGCTACGGCGACGAGGACTGTAGCTTCTGCTCCGGCTTCTGTTCCTTGGCATTGTTGTTTAAATTGGTGAGATTATTATTACTGGAAGGAAGAGGAGGGATTTTTTTTATGTGTAGGAAGGCAAAACCCTAAAACTAACCCTGGAGAAGGGTTTGTGAGGGGTTTCGAAAGTTTCGGGGGAATAAGGGAGGTGAGTAGTTAGTTACGCTTATTTGTTTCATTTTTAACAAGGCCGGGGGTACTGGCGGTTGATAGATTCGACATTATTAAAAAAAAAAAAAGTATTTTGATAGGAAAAAAAAAAAAAAACTCTTGTTTTTTTTATATTGATATCATGATGTAAGTCCCAAGTCGGCATTTTTTTTATTCATTTTTCTGTTTAAATTGAATTTTTTTTTCAATTATATAAATTTAATTGACTTAGGAACTAAGCTGTGTACATTTTTTCAGTTGTTTTTATATGATTATCTAATCTCACAAACTACATTTTAAGTTTCACAAACTTGCTCAAATCTTTTTTTTTATCATTTTATATTGAGTTAAATAAAAATTAAATTTTAATTTTTTATAAAATTATTTATTTTTCATAATCCATATTATATGTTCGATGGATTATAAATGTGACTTGAATACGACATATATTAATATAATATATTATTAGCTCAATATTTTAAAAACATATCATTTAATATTTAAAAAGTATATAGTCTAATATACTTTATATTTTTTATTCATTATTAATTTTTTATTAGAAAACATATTTTTTTATATTAAAAAAAATAAAAGCAATTCATTGCATAGCACATGACAAATATATTAAAAAGAAAGCTAAAAGGTGTGGTGAATTTATTGTAGCAAAAAATTTGGTTTGTTATGGATTACTATAATGAATTTACCTTTGTATCTCTTGGTGGAAAATTTTGAAGGTTATGAGATATAGATATTTTAGTTTTTTCCCACTAACTCATTTGTTATTAAAAGATTGAACATTAGTATTATTGTTTTACATATTATTTTGTACAGTAAAATATGCTTTTGTCCCTAGGGTTAATAAAAATTAACTCATTGAGCAGTGATATTTTTTATTTTGCATAAATTTGAAAAATGTAAAACACATCGTAATTTGCTCGTCTATATGACAAAATAACTTATATGTATGCAAAGGTTTATTGGTACTTTCACTTTTTTTTTGTTATTTATAGGGTCATAAGGGGGTAATATCACATTTTTAAAAACTACTTTGTTATTTATAGGGTCATGAGGGGGTAATATCACATTTTTAAAAACTACTAGCACGGGGAAAACATGCATCAACGTGTTAGCGGTATTCGCACTATTATGATGGTGTGTGTGATGCTACTATTTGTCCAAAAATAGCCTTCCGTCAAGTCATTGGAAATGTCATCATATGATCGTCCTCCTAGTGTAAAACATGTCGGTGGTGATCCAACTGTTTATTGCTGATGATTATTTCTTTTATCTTTTGCATATTTTTATTTATTTTTCTGTTAAAGTACATGTTTATCCCTTCGCCGATGATTATTTCTTTTATCTTTTGCCTATTTTTATTTTTTTTTCTGTTAAAGTACATGTTTATCCCTTTTATTTTTAGTTTTTCAATTTTAATTCTTATATTTTTTAATACTTTTTTTCGTCCTTCACCCATTTAGAAAATTTTTATATATTTTCAATTCATCCTTAAATTACAATTGGTCATATATTGGTTTTATCAATTCATTTCTTTTTCTTTTAATTGTTACCATTGGATTTTTCAGCAAAGTTTTATTAGTATTCAATTTCATCCTTAAATCAAAATTTATGTTGGTATTTTTTCAATTTAACCTTCATTCTTTTGATATTTTTCTTTTTTGTTAATTATATTTTTCTTTTTAAATTGACTATGTGATTTAATTTTTAAATGCCCTCAAATATTTTTATTTTGTTTATTAATTTTTTTTATATGGTTGATTTTTTTTTCTAAATGCATCATTCGATGTTTGATTTATTTTGGATAAAGCGTCACGGTTTACCCATTTGTAATGCTTCTAATTTAATGACATGAGTCATAAGTTTTAAGTGTTAATACGGTTATAATTTTTTTCTTTACAATTTTATAATTTTATATTATTTTAAAAAAATTATTTTGTTATTACTTTTATATTTTTTTCAATCAATTTATCTTTGTCTCGTTACTTAAAGCATGAGTTTTGCAATTGTTTTTAGATAAAGATTGTTTTTTTTTAAGATATTTTTTTATGTTTAATTTTTATTTATTTTTCATTTTATTTTATACAAGTAGATTTTTTTGTATAAAAAATATTTCTTTTATGTTAGGTCATTCCTATTTTTTTATCATTTTATTTTATTCACTTGGTTTCATGTGTTTTTAATTTTATTATCTTTTATTGATTGTAATGAACAAATTTAGTAAATACAAACAGGCAAATATTTTATTTTTTAAGATAAAATATCTTGATTTATATTCTTCTTTTATTTCTTTCAGTTTTTTTAGTTATTATTAATATTTTGTTTTATTAATTTACATAGATTATTATTAAATGTTTAGATAAACTTTTTGATTTACAGTTATAATTTATATCATGTAAGAAAAACATATTAAAATAGTATGTATACTCAAGTTTTTTTTAGAAAGAAAAATTACAACCCGTTACGGAGTGCATATCGAATCAAATTTTTAGTTGCCCTCTTATTAGTGTTTTTTTTTACTCTTATTTTGTAGATTATCTTGTGTAATTGATTTCATCTTTTGACATTTGATTTGTTAGAGATTTAGCTTCATATGATCTTATCGCTTTGCATTTGTTTTTTTATATTGTTTTTTTAAATCAAGGTGTTTAGCTAATTCATTTAGAATTTGTTTTGTGCTTTATACAAATGAAGTTGATTTTTAAAAATAAGAAATATTTATTTTTAAATAATATTGCTAATGTGTTTAGTTTTACACAATATATTTTTTTGTATGAGTTTATATGTTAGTTTTATTTGTATTTATCTTTTAAGTCATGAGTTTTTAGGATGTGGATTTATCTTTTTTTTTTAATTTTAATAAACAATTTTAGTAAAAACAATCAAATAAATATCTCATTTTATATGGTTGAATATCTTGATTTACATCTCTCAATTTTATCAATTTCTTTGGTTATTGTTAATATTTTTTTTCCCATATATTTATATAAAAGAAATAAAAATAGTTGGCATAAAAATATGTTTGGTTAAAAAAAAAGATATAAAATAAACATGTGATAATTGTTCATCTTTTATGTTTAAAGACTATAATCATATATTATTTTAACATAAAAAACTAAAAGTTATCACTACGAAGCAAGAATGAGGTTGAATTTTATGTATGAGATCCATTAAAAAAGCTAAAAAAAAACAAAGAAAAAATAGATTTTATGGTTGAGTTTTATGCATAATTAGATTGTACACAGCCTCAACTTCAACCCCAACCACAAAAGCTTGAATCAACACATCTTTATCCCACTATGAATTATTATGATATAATCATGTTTTTTATCTCCATAATAGAAGATAATACAAGATAATGAAGCACAAATTAAGAGGCAAATCATCTTTTCACGAGATTCATTGGTATTTTTTAATTGATTGAGGTTAAATTAGTTATTTCACTTTTTTAGCATGGTGAGAAGACTAAATCACCCTTTACAAAAATTTTGCAAACCCCTAGTTTAAAATTGGCAAATTTGCAATGAAATCCTATAATTAATTAAATAAATTTTGATTGAATAAAATAATAGCAAAAAAAATCTAGAAATTGGGCGGAAATCCCTATAAAATTTAAAGGAATATGAAATAATATTGATGGATAGTGCAAGTCCCGCATTAACTATGTAAATTAAAATGGAAGTAATGAATAAAATTTGATAAAATTATTATCTTCAAGAAAAAAAGGTCCTAGAAATGTATATTTATCCCAAACTAAATGAGAATAAGATTTGTGCATGAAAAATCCCATGATATGGAAGGAATTGCTATTATTAAAATGTTGAATCCCTTTTTAACCACATGGCCAACAACCATTTAAGACTAGAAAGCTTGATTTTTCTCTTCTCTTTAAATTTTGTGTGTTTTCTCTTTATGTTTAAAGTTTGTTTGGGGTGTTTTGGTAGATTTAAGAGAGAAACCTTCATCCCTTTCAACACTAAAGGTCGAGATATTATGTAATGAGATGAAATATTACATCGTGTATGTGTTGAGAGAGTGTGAAAGAGGAATGTTAAACATCTTGAAAATGTAAATATGTATTAAATCAAAGAGGAATTGTAGGTTAAATATATAATGAGTATGTACGAGAATATAAGGACGTGGTGGATTATAAGAATGAGCAAAATTGCTCTATATAGAGGAGAAAATGTTATTTTTTAATAAAAATATTATGTTAAATAGGAGGGTGCATTGTATTGTTACTATATTCATATATGAATGATAAATAATGGGTTAATTTATAGTAGCAAGTATATAAATTGTTGTAGTGACCATAAATATATATGTGTGAGGGTCGTTTTGAGAACCTAAAAGTGTATGAATATATGTTGCTGTAGATGTATATATGTAAGGGTTGTTTTGAAAACTCATAAGAATGCATTCATGAGCTATCGTACCATAATAGCTATAAATGTGTGTACCATGATAGCTATAAATGTGTGAGATCAAGGACTGTATTCATAGCCTAAAAAGGTTTACACATAGGTTGATATGAAAACCATAAATGCATAAAATTATTTACCGTGACAATTATAAATATATATCAGAATTAAATCTTGAAAAGTATAGTTTAATTAGTTATATTTTAAATTTGTTTTCTGTAAGTCACTAGTTCTAGTTCTACAAACTTTAAGGCTATTAAAGATTTATATAGTCATTAATTTTAGGACTCGTATAATTAGTCTAGATACATACAAGCTGTTTTAAATATTTATATTAATAAAAATATATATATGTTACGACTGGAAAAAAAAAGAAAAGAAAAGGGAAAGAGCATGTTAAGGTTATTAAGCCAAAAGTGTTACCTTATGTTGAAGTACGAATGATTGAAATTGTGTTTCATTTTATTGTTAAAGAATGATTTGTTTATGTGTATGATTTAATAATTGAATAATAATGAAAAAATGATAATGACTTGTAATTATATTATGTCAAGCATTGACGAAATTTTATTGATATGAATATATATATTTATGAGATGAAGTTGATAAGATATTGATGATGGCCTCTCGTTTTTGAATTAGGAGAGACACCAGGGGCTGGACCTAAAGTTGAAGGAGTTCATTTCACCAAAGAAGCAAATAGCTACTTAACGCCATGATCTTTTAAATTTAATAAATTCCTATTAATATTCTTTTATTTGTTGTATTAGTTGTCAAGAATGCATGAAATAAAAAAATTAATTATATGATTGAAATAAAGATGCATATCATGGTTCATAACTTAATTCTGAATTATTTTCAAAAAATCATTTTTTTCAATATCATAACTTAATACTGAATTATTTTCAAAAAATCATTTTTTTCTAAATAAAATAAAATAAAATAAAATAAAGGTTGGTGATGTAAAGAAAGTAGATAGGGAAGGATTCCAAAACTATATATAAAAGCCAAGCTATAATTTTAGAGGAAATTTAAGGATTAATTGTACCCCATTATACTAAAAAATAGAGAACAAAATGCAAATTCAATGTCAAATTAAATGATTATTGGATGAATTTGCATAAAAATTAAGTCCAATAACATTATAAATTTTTTAATAGGCCAATTTGATTTAATCATGGACCAAATTAAATTTTAATTATGTTTAAGAATTAATTTGGGTCCAATTGAAGGATTTAGTTAAGTACAAGAACTTAATTACACTTTAAAATGGTCAAATTAATTTTATTTGGGGCTTAATTGGTGAAAAATTAAGTTTGAGAGCCTAATTTGGGCTTAATTGAGAAGATTTAAATTTTAAGAGACCAAATTTATTTTTTACCAAGTTAATTGATTGAAATCAGGGGACTAAATTGCAAATAAATTAAAGTTTTAGAGTCAATTAGGGGTTAAATTGATAAAATTTACAGCCAAGAACCAATCCGTAATAGGCGTCAAACTACAAGGGTTTAATTGACAAAAATTGAGGGTGAAACTAAAGAAATTGAAAGTTTAATGGTTAATTAGAAGTTAAATTTTCTTTTGAGTGCACTTTCTAACAATGGTCCTTAAGATAATGCGCTTTCTATCCATATCGTTTTTCTTTTGAGCGTGTTTTTAAGTTCTCACTTTAAACACGTTAACAAGGATTGACCATTTTATTGATCCGGTGAGTGCATCATATCTCATTCTTTTTTTCTTTACAAAACAAATTATCTAAAATTTGTTATGAAACTTTCTAGCATAAGCATTATAAAGAGGAAGTAACTGTTATAACATATTTCCATTATGGTAGAGATTTTCTTATAAAAGGAGATTTATTATAAACCTTAAACGAGACCAACGAATAAAAACTTGATCTGGAAAAACAATAAAATAAAAATACAACTTACCTTATGTAGGATGCATTAGTGACCTGAAAAAACAATAAAAAAACAATAAAACTTATCTTATGTAGGATGCACCAGGAGTAATGCATTTTTTTCTTAGATAATCAATCCCCTACCTAGATTCTCGCACATTACAAGTTACTAGTAACTGACTAACGACTCTTGAATTTTATTCATAATTAAACTGGAAACATTTTCCTTCCTAACAACACACTTCTTATGGAGGCACCATTTTTTCAGTGAGTTAGCCATATCAATGCCACCTTCCTCATGTGTGACAATTGTTATGCTTTTTTTCTTTCCTTTGTTTTTCTCTTTCCCTTCAATTTTTGTGCCAAATCCTCTAATTTTTCAAACCAACTCTTTAATTTTGTTCTTTTTTTTTTAATTCAATTCATGTTTTTTTAATTATTATTTGTTTTATTTGAAATAATTTATAAAATTAAAATATTTTCTCAATTTCATCATTCTTCATTTTTTCTTATCTATCAAACTTGGTCTTAGTTCTTTTAATTGATTTTTTAATTATTTTTTTAATTTAATTTATTTTTTAATTTAATCCCTCATTCTTTTATCTAATTTAATATTAATACCATACTTGGTTTTTATTTTTTTTATTGTTATTTTTTTTATTAAAAAAAATTAGATGGTTGGAATCTTTGCTTCATGATTTTTCTGGTCTGCCTTTCATGGGGCAACCCGGTCTTATGACCGAGACATATGTGTTTAAATATTAACATGATTTAACTTATCTTTTTCTAGGGTTTTTCTTTTTTACCATTCAATAATATATTATTGGGTCTTCAACTTTATGAGTTTTGTTGTTTTTTTTTTTGTATAAGGTTATTTCGATCTCGTATCATAGACAATTTAGTCAAATTAACCTAAATTAAATTAGTTTTTTTATTTTGTTATTGATTTTTTTAATTTTGTTTTTTATTATTTTGTTTACTTAAAAGTTTACTTTCGTTTTTTTATTCAGTTTCATCTGCACATGGTTATTTCACCCTCATTAATCAGTCGGGTGTTTGACATGCTAACTAGAGCTAATTTTTTAATTATTTTTTTAAATTAATCTTTTTTTTAACCCATCATTTATTATTTGTTTGGTTGATTATTGAGCTTCAAAGTTTTTCTTTATATTGTTGTCAAATTTTCATTCAATTTTTTATTTGTTATGAAATAAGATTGTTGGGATATTTTAAAAATATTTACATGATATCTTTTTATAATATTGACATGTATTTTTTTTTCATTGGTGATTGTTCTTTTTTAATTGATGTTAGCATTTTATTTTACAATTATATTATTAAATAAACTAATTTTATTAAATCTATTTGAATCAATGACTTTATTTTTAAATTTTTATTATTATTTTAAAAAATATTATTATTATTTGAATAATTTTTTTATATTAAAAAGATTTGACTGTAATACAATACGAGTATTATTTGATAAATATAGTATTTAAAAGTATAACAATAATTGTTTTTAAAAGTTCTTTATGTTATAAAATATATTAAAATAGTATATCTTTTATTTATTAAAAATTATTTTAATATATACATATTAAAATAATTCACAAACATAAAAATTAAAAATTAAAAATTGAATATTCATTTGCATTCCGAACAGCGCCAAAGAGCAAACGCATGCGGCTGGACTGCCTTTGACATACAGACCACAGAACACACGCTAACACCGATTCTTCAAACAACACCTCAAATAAAATAACCTAAAGCTACCTGCCCTTTTTTCCTTTTATCAATATAAATAAATGCAAGAATTTTGTTATGGTGCTCCTCAAGCAATCGCAGCAGCCATTGCTAACCGTTAAAATAATTTTTATTTAAAAATATATCAGAATAATTTTTATTCTTAAATCAAAAATCAAAACAATTAATATTTTTTTAAATAAAAAATATTTTTAAAAAACAGTTAAAAAAACAACACAAACACGTGAGTTGATATGATGTGGATAGTAATGATTGGGTAATTGATGAGTTGGGTTTTACTAACATGTTCGATAAACTCCTCCCCATCGTGTCATCGAAGATTGTTTTGGAAATTAAAATATCAGCAATTTTTTTTCCTAAATATCAAGAGGGTATTTCGTAAATGTTTTTTTTTTTGTTTTTATGTTTTCAGTAGTAATTTCAGATTAATAAAATATTTTAGATGTTATTTTACTATTTAATCTTTTTTGTTTTCAAATAAAAATATTACAGTAATTT